GCACGGGGGAGGGGGGAGGGGAAGGGATACAAAATCGGGAAAAGTGCTTTACGTAATACTTGAACGACCCCTTAACCGAGATATTGCGCTTCAAAAAATTCGGTTTGTGACGTCATCACGTCATCAACCACAATACGGACACCCTTGGTTTCTTCCACCTTGCTTTCATTTGAGTTTTACGTTGAGTAACCAATGTGTGAATCACCGGTTGATGAATCCAAGGTGGAAGAGATCATGGTATGCGTGACCACGGTGGATGACGTCATAAACGGGTTTTAGAAATTGGAGGCCCGGCTAAATCCCATTTCCCGTTGCCAAACTGCCGTGAAAATAATGTATTTTTTGCAAAATCGCGGCAATTTATACGCGCAGAACGCCGAGCCATAAAAAGGTCTTCCTTATAAAATTTCTGAGGGGAGAAAGGGGTTTTTATAATGGAAAGGGCAATCTGAAACGTGGGGTCCGTTAAGAGCAGTGGCGTGGCGTGCTTTGCGATACATCGATTGATCTGCCATTTAAAGCTACGATACGGGAAAGGATTGATAGGTGTTGGCAACACACCTCAATAATAGATTCTTTACCGTAGATTCAAACGGGGGAAATATCTTCAATCGATCATTCACACCTCGCCTAATTAATTATTTTCCCCTGCAGGATGTCTAGTTTTTTTTCCGTTATGGGAAATCCTGATGAAATCCTAATTTTTCCTGATTTTTGACTGCTAAATCCTGATTTTTGACTGCTAAATCCTGATTTTTGACTGCTAAATCCTGATTTCATTATTATTCCAAATCCTGTTTTTTTGCGGAGAAAAATTTATATCACAAAAATAGCTCGATAAAAAAACCCGATCGGATGGCCGACTTTACTCAAATCCTGATTTTACGACCGATTTTTCCTTAAATCCTGATAGAATCGAGAAAATCCTGATGCTAGACACCCGTCTTGATTTTTCTTGGATTTCCAAGTTTTTCCTAATTCTATCCATCTTTCCTATGACACGCAAGCAACTGACACACCCAACCAGCGTTCTTCATTCCTGAAGACCTACAGACCGTTAGCGTAATCCGGCAACGATGAAGCTTGAGGGCCTATGCAACGAGGGGAAGGGGGAGTGTTAAGGCTAATGACACCAGTGGCGTGGCGTGCTTTGCGATATATCGATTGTTATGCCATTTAAACCTATGGAATAGGATCGATAAACAGGGTGTTCGCAGCGAACACCTTAATAATCGATTCTTTACCATAGGTTTAAATGGCATAACAATCGATATATCGCAATTCACGCCACGCCACTGAATGACACAAGCTCCCAACAGGGGTCTCGGGGCGCGGAGATCCATTCATGCGTGGTTGGCGGATACCTCTCGCGATCTTGTGAGTGGGTCCCGAGAAACGTTACACTCACGGACTATCGATACTTCCACATTTGAAGCTATGTTAAATAATCGATTGTTTGCAAACAGTCTGATAATCGATTTTCTTCTTTATAGGTTTAAATGGCAGATCGATCGATCAATCGCTAACACGTCACAAACTGCGTTGCACGCATCAGTCGTCACTTACACTCTTCAGAGTTGCCACTAAATTTAGAAAATCAAATTCACTGATTTTCTGACACGTTCAAGTGAAATCCCTGACGATTGAGGTTATGTCATTTGGCCAGAAAGCATAATAATTTCAAGAAGTTTCCAGGCAAAATTTGTTGATCTAAACGTCAATCTACTCTAGAAAGCTAATAGAAGTAAAATAAAAAAAAAAAATTTCCCCACACTTTCGTCCTTTTCCTGACATTTCAGGTTTTCCCTGACTTTTTAAAATTCTCTGACATTTCCCGGTTTTCCCTGACTGGGGCAACCCTGACCTTTTCCCCCGAACTTTTCCCATTTTTCGCTGACCATGTCCATCCTATTCCCTTCATAAAATCAGGGTTGCCACAGAATTTAAAAAATGAAATGCCCTGACATTTCCCTGACACATTCTGGTCAAATTCCCTGACAATTGGAGATGTAACGGATGGTTAAGAAGGCATGATTAAAAATAGTATTTAGGCAAAATGTGTAGTTCGAAACCTCAAACCCATTCTAGAAAGCAAATGAAGGTGATTTAACAAATTTTCCCTGGCATTTTCCAGTTTTCTCTGACTGTGGCAACCCTATCCAGTATTGCAACTTGCAAAATCGTCGCCACCTGAAACAGCCAAAATTTAGGAGCGTACCGGTGCCGGAGGGGTTGGTGAGATTACCCCTAACGAGGGTATCGTGGCCGAGCTTTCTGAGGGGCCCGGAGCCCTTTTTCGGGGGGCCGGTCCGCTTGACATGGGGACGGTGTCGTAGGAGGGGCGAAGGGGGCATGGGGTCTCCAGCGTGGGCGGGCAAGGAAAGGGGGGTCTCCATCGGACTGGCGAAAATTCACCTGCTTCACTGCTCTGACGACCACTCACTCACTTGCATCGAGTGGCTCCATCCGAATCCTCCTGTCGAACCAAGAAAGTTATCAGAAAATTATCAGATACCACAGGGGTACAAATGGTTCAGTTTCGCTGGTCACAGAATCGTGATTGATGTTTGATTCTGGAAGATTAGCTAAATATACACGGAGACAGGGCCGGATTAAGGGGGTGGCCACATGGGCCGCGGCCCATGGCGGCAAATCTAGGGTAGGTAATTTTTTTAAATGTGCGAGTGGGTATAAAAAAAATCGGATTTAGTAAAAAAACATTACAAACGAAAAAAGGCGACAAAATCTCTCATTTCCTGAGAGTATAGTGATTTCTAATTTTGTCGTCTTTCAGTGATACAAGTGACAGCACCTTTAATTAGTCGCGTTAAGAGAGAAACCAAACACGCAATTTGGCCTGGAACGGCGCGGTGCAGAGAGCAATGATGACGAGGACTTGAGATGAAATGAAGAAGCCCTCGGAGTGACGGTTGGCATGTAACACATATTAGCGATTACAAGACTGCATGAATACTTCACGCATTGCGTCAAACACAGTGCGGTCAGCAGCGGTCGACGTGAAACGCATAGCGCCTGCAAGACTGCATGAATACTTCACGCATTACGCCAAGCACAGTGCGGTCTGCGCGTCGTGGCGGAAGTTAAAATCATTAAACCACATTTATGTTTGTTCTTTCATAATTTCATCGTTCATTTCTTATGAATGGGAGGCCTTGTCTACGAAGAGATTGGTTTACGAAACTTGAATTTCGCACAAAGCTCCGTGAACTTTTGCTAGTAGTGTTGACAGGGCTTTCCCAAAAAAATTGTCCAAAACGAGTAAACGCGTCTTATGCACCCCTCCCTCACAGGCACGTTCATTTGATGGTTTTTATCGAGTTTCAAAACGAATAAGAAGGGGGCGGCAAAATATAGACGGCCCATGGGCGGCAAGTAGGTAAATCCGGCCCTGCACGGAGAAAAAAACTACGTGCATGGGACCCGAAGTTGAGGTCATATGGATCTCTAAAGTTTCCAGATCACGCATCCGAAAACTTGAGGTCGAGCTGCCGAAGTTCGGGTCAGACATCGAGGCACTTCGGTATGCACCGGAGTACTTCAGATGCGTGACCCGAACCCTTTGGTATATATCGAAGTACTGCAGATATCTGACCCGAACTTCGGCAGCTGGACCTCAAGTTTTCAGATGCGTGATTCGAAAACTTCAGAGATCCATATGACTTCAACTTCGGGTCCCACGCACGAAGTTCTTTTCTCCGCGTGTCACCCTGGTAAAGATATCTTTGTCAGGGCCAGATTTACCAATAGGCTACGTAGGCTGTAGCCTATAGGGGGCAACATTCTGAGGGGCGCAAAATTTTTGAGAATGTTTTTTTTTCTTAATCTAACGAGTCTTTAGTTACTTTTTATTTTCCAAAACCAACTTGCAAACGTAAACGTACCTCAAAACTGTTTAAAATCGTGTTTTTTTAAAGGTGACTTTGAACATTTTCCTGACACCCAATACCCTCCTTCAGATCTGGAGGGAAATGGCGTCTGGGGGGACCTCCCCCCTTCCACGAGAGCGCCTACTTTTAAAGGCGCCACCCTAAGTTTAGCGTGGGGCGCTAAAAATGTAAATCAGGCCCTGATCCTTGGTCTCATGGGGTTGTTTCGAAAAAGACCTCCTCGTCGACTTTTCCGCCGCGTCGATCGGACGAAAGTGCCATCCGTACCCGACTACCCGCTCTCGAGCCGCGTCCACGCCGGGCCCGGGCGAGCGGTTGGCGCGTTTCCAACCCGCAACTCGCGAGTGGCGAGGGCCTCCGCCATCGCGCGGCTTTCCAGTCGGACGCGCCCGAGCCGAAGCCGAAAACGGGTTCGAAAAGTTGGCGCCAGGTCGGGCCGGGGGTTTTTCGCGGAGCGCCGACTGGAAATGCGCGCCGCGGCCACTTTTACTCGCTAATTGCCCGCTAGAAAGTCGCCAATTAACATCTCCATTGCGTACTCCACCACTCGCAATCGGCTAAAAGCGTGTATCGGCGTTTTGATCGTGACGGAAGTTGAGCGGTTTTGGATTAGCGCTGCGTTTGGAGCGGCCAACACATGGCGCGCGGCCTGTCCAGACAGACAGGTCGCTCTCGTTGCTCGCTTCCGTAATTGAACCGATTTTTTTTTTTTTTTCAAAATAACGTAAGCGACAATCTCTATTTTGGTCAGGGTGTCTAAAATAACGTAAGCGACAATCTCTATTTTGGTCAGGGTGTCTAAAATAACGTAAGCACGACAATCTCAATTTTGGTCCGGGTGTCTAAAATAACGTAAGCGACAATCTCTATTTTGGCCAGAGTATCTAAAATAACGTAAGCGACAATCTCTATTTTGGTCAGGGTGTCTAAAATAACGTAAGCGACAATCTCTATTTTGGTCAGGGTGTCTAAAATAACGTAAGCGCCAATCTCTTTTTTGGTCTGGGTGTCTACTAATACAGACTGGTCAAAAATAAGTACTTTTACAGTACTATTTCAGTACATTCTCAAGAAATTCAGTACCACCTCCAACAGAAAAAATCCGTTCTTTTACAGTACCTCCATTTGACGAAATTCCCCATCTGACGATACCCCCCCCCCCCCCCCAANAATACACTTCACTTCACTTCATGAATCCCAAAGGAAGAATGAGGTATACTTTCTGCTATTCTACCCTACTCTGTTTTAGGGTAAGTTCACCCTTTACATCTGCTACAGGACAGATGAATCATGGTATTCGCGTCAGTAGATAAAGGTACCCGGCAACCTCATTTAGAACGGGGTTTAACGGCGCCTGGATGCAACTATACCTGCTCGATGGATGCCCGTGTTGCCTACACGGTATACCGAAGGCGTTTTGCCTTTTCGTGCCCGAACCCAAGCACTCAAAAGTGATGCCCACGACAATTTGCTGGCAGCTAGTAGCTAAACGATTGAAGATAAGCCAGATGGTTAATAAGACATTATTAGGAATAGTTTTTAGACAAAATGTGTTGTTCAAAACGTTGAATCCGTTCCAGACAGCAAATAAAGGTGACCCAAACATTTTCCCTCACATTTGCGTCATTTTCCCTGACATTTCCAGGTAATCCCTGACTTTTTATAATGTCCTGACATTTCCTAATTATCCTGGTACTTCCTGAATGTGGCAACCCTGTGAACGTTGTAAGAGCAAAGATTAATTTTTCTCGAAAATAAATTTTAGAAATAATAATTTAATCGAAACTCCGTGCCAAAGCAGAGCAATGAGTACTTACGGGAGGTTCCAAGTTTTGCATGCTCGGAAGACGGGTCCAGCACTATCACCGAAGTGCACTTACATCACTCACTTGTCATTAACTTAATGACGAACTTTACTCATTACATAATACGCCCACACGCGGGGAATGCTGGATTTGTCAGACAGGAATTTTTGAAAATTTTGAATGAGAGGTCGTTTTGCTAATGAATCGACCGTAGATGAAAAAAAGCAAATGCACTGTTGGGTATAAACATTTTTTAATTAAATTTGGTTTAACCTCAAAAACCGAGTGAAATCTAACTGTCTTGCGACTCTGCAACTTACAGCTGCGCGAAAATGACACATTGTCAAACTTGGCAAAAAAATGGAGATTTTCCTGAGCTCGGATTGCCACATTGTCAAAACGCAGGTTTCCTTAGAATTCATATGATTCCCTCTCCACCTTCACACCGATTTTGTAACAAAACCTGTCACTTAATTTGATAAAATGCCTGATTCGACTGATTGCCTGCGTCCGATATAGTTCCTTTTGATTTAAATGTGTCCAAATGATTGAAGATCAATAAAAAAAACACCTGTCCGCACTCCGCAGGAATAACGACCTGCGGGCTGCTTGTTGAAATTGATAGACAAAGCTATAGACAAAGAAGACATAAGGAGCCAATAGCGAAACTATTGATTGAAATGGGTGCTTCTTACAGACTTATAAGGGAGCAACTGATGGACTAACTAAAGGGTCTCCCGTGGGTTGCCTTCAGTTAGTCTATTAAAAACTTCTTTCGTCCATACCAACCATCCGCTTCCACCAATAGGATCTCTCCATATCCATTTCGTCTTCTTTGTCTATCGCTTTGTCTACCGATTTCAACGATCAGCCCACCTGAGAGTTTTTCTGAATGGAGGTCAAAGGCCGAACTTGACCCCACATCGAGAAGGCTTCTAGAGAATTCTTTCTTACACGAGAAATGAACTATTTTGTCTAAAATTAGGAAAATAATCAGAATTTCAATCGAAGTATAAATATTGGACTATTCGCCTAGGCATTTAATGAAATGCCCGATTCGACTGATTGCCTGCGTCACATACAGTTCCTTTTGATTTAAATGTGTTCAAATTATCAAAGATCAACAAAAAAGCACCTGTCCGCACTCCGCAGGGAGAACGGCCCGAGAGTATTTCCGAATGGAGGTCAAAGGCCGATAAAAGAACTTGACCCCGCATCGAGGAGGCATCTCCAGCCGATGTGTCATGGACCCCTTTTTCAAGCGGAGCCTCAATCCGTCCAGAAATGCGATACGTCACCGCGGACCGGACCGCGGCATGAGTAAACTTTTCCGCATACCCGAATGATTTAGAACCGCGCTTGGTGAAGAGGCTGCGAGGGAACTTATGAATGGCCGACC